AAAAAAAATGTCGGGAGTGGCTTTTCTTGTATTCTTGGATTACTGAGCTTAAAGTGAATATCTTTTTGGATTTTGTGTTGGAATCTGATATCATGCACGTTTCTGATTATAGCAGACCAGAAGCATATATGCGCTTTGCCGAAATGCATCATAAGTTATCCAAAACTGACCAAACCGAGATTGCGAACGAATTTATCTCCTACCTATTATATTCATTGAAGCGTGATTTCAAGCAGTAACTCGATCTTGTAGCCTCATCTTACCATAGCTTTCCAGGAATCATTACTATTGTTCTGTTTATGCGGCACGAATGATGGTAAAGAATGGTAGTGGTCTTATCGTCAACATCAGTTCTGCGGGTGGTCTCAGGTATGTAAATAACCAGTATTTTCATTTCTCGTATATCGTCATGTGAATAAATTCAGGTACCTGTTTAATGTACCGTATGGTGTCGGAAAGCAGGCATTGGATAGAATGTCTGCAGATATGGCGTTTGAACTGAAGGTAGAGTGTGATTGTTGTCTAAGCCAGTAGTTTTGACGGTTCATACAGGTGCCTTTGCGGTGTCGAGAACGCTTGCGCGTGAAATTCTTTTATCTGTAGTACCGACAACTTGTGCCTTCAAAATGGATGCATGGTTATAGTCTTGTGATTTTTTTCGCTTTTTTTTGTCTGGGCGAGGGTTTTACGCGTAAATGGGGTCGCAGCGCAGAACTAACTTTAGAGTAAGCTTACTAGCTTATACAATTGACTACATACATGAAAAGTTTTGCAGCCGAAGAACGTCTGCGTAGTGTCGATTTGGCCAGGTGCAGTACGTACAGAACTTATAACTACTATGATGGAATCAAGAAAAGATGAGGTGCTATCAAAACGCCTGCATTTTTTTCGAGGTTCATCAAAACCATGTTTGTTAAGCGCACTGATATGTTCAAAGATGGCGAAACTACCGAGTATCCTGGTAAAGCCATTGTAGCTCTTGCGTCTGATGATCGAAGAATGGAAAAAACTGGACGGGTTTTGATTACTGCGGACTTGGGCAGCGAATACGGTTTCCGAGACACGGACGGTATAAAATCAAGTAATTTCTTTTCAAAAATTGAGCATCTCAATAAAAATTGTTCAGGTCGTGACCCTCCAAATCTTCGTAGCCTCACATTCCTGCTCACCCATGCAGGTTACAAACAAGCTGCACAGTGGGTGCCTTCATGGGTAAAAGTGCCTGGATGGTTGCTGTGGGGATCGGCGAGCAGGCTTTAAGGACCATTTATTTTTTCTTGTCACCGAAGTTGTCATTTTCACCTACACGCCACTGCTCTGAACTGATGAAACCCCTCTAATAATTCTCCAAATGTAAATAAACATTATAACTACATGAGTTGTCACTATCGTTGATCTTTATCGTCTTCTCTATATTATGTAGCAGGTGCAGGTAAGTGTCAAAGTCTGTTTTTGCAGAAATTGACGCTCATTACTACCCGTAATTTCCTTAACACAAGTAATTTGCGACATTTGCATGTTTTTTTTCTCGAAATGGGGTCAATTGTTCTAGCTTTGTCTTCCGTTTTT